GGAATAAATGCCTCGAGTGCGCCATTGACAACTCAGGTCATTTTGATAGTAGCCGAGTCAACTTCACTATCTTTAAAGACATCTGACAAGTTATATTGCTCCAGATATTGGTACAGGCCAAGATAATTTCCAGGGGAATATGAGTATTCAACCGAATTATTGTTTACTCTTTGCATGCACGATATGCAGAATTTCGTAGCAAAAGGAGGGTGATAAGAATCAACATGTACTAAAGGGTTCAAATTGGGAGTCGCAATCTCCAGCGGTTTGTTCGATAAACACATGTCAAGTATTTTTCCGCAACCATTCAAAAGTGTGTTATACTGACAAAAATCTAGAAAGCTTAAAAATGAAAGCAACCAGTGAGCCTTTTTAGAAGTCACGCTTGCCGTAAGAGAAAGGGTACCCGCTGCCCAGTCGATTCCTGGCAAATTAAAGTCGCCTTATACCTGGACTCCATACTTAGTAAAATCTACAGCTTTCTGAAGTAATTCGAAGTATTCAATGAACGCTGGGTCATCATACAAAGGAGGGAAACAGTAATTGCTAACTAAATAGTTGTAACCATCACTCGCTGGAATCTGAACCGAGACACACTCCGCATAATATTCCAAATTCATCCTCCGGTGGGATTGAACTTCACACTTCACTGCGATAAGCACACCACACCCGAATTTTATGCCCAATCTATCGTAGTCTCTATCCTGACGATGCACAGAATGACCTGAGGGAAAATAACTATTATTGGAAATGCCGGTGCAGAGCCAAGCCTACGTTAAACAAACTAGATCAAAGCTGCAGTACAGAATATTTTGAATAAACTCGGAAGATTTCGAACGCAAACCACGCGTATTCTGGTAGTACACTTCCAGCGTTTTAAACATTTTTAGCTGCTAAAGGCTCTACCACAAAGACTCGAGAGCTATCCAGCCCGCCGAAAAACGGGTGAAAGATAGAGCCTTCTGGCTATATCTCCGGTTTATAAAAACTTTTGAACACTGACTGGTCACAACAGAGGTGAAATGTGGCGTACGAGTCAAATTTGGGCTTTAGTTTGGTAACAATCACCGATTTGCTGGCTAAAAAGGGGGCCACGAAATTTTCAAAGTGTGCCGCAGACGTACGAGGGTCCTACCTAGACACAAAAAGTGCCTTTGTGACCTGTTTGCGAGGGGCCGCAAGTACCTTGTCGGATTTCGCCGTCCCACTTGACGATGAAGTTCGCTGTTTCCGCTGCACCCGTGTGAAGCCGTCATGGTCAATCCAGGGACAAGCCGGTATCAGCTAATGTTATTTTCATTTTGCACTCACAAACCAGCTAAATGGAAAGTATGTATTTGGTATGGTTCGCCGCAAAACTGCCCAAGTGCCAAGCACGAGCCAAAACAAAACCGCGTGATAACCAAATCACCAGATTCGAAGTCCATTTCTGCCACTTGCGCTGGGATTGAAGCAAAAAAAAAAGCAATATGTCGACGGAGCAACTGGGCAGACACACCTCAGAAGTTTGCAGGCATGATACCTTTATGTTTAAGAGGCGCATGGCATCACTGCGATAGCAGCCCATGTATTCAATATAACAATACGACAACAACACTTTGACGTTGCACTTTGAGGAATTTGCCATTCTGTTACTCTAATGTATAACATACCACGATCCTTGTGCTAAAATGTGAAGATGAAGATGACAGCGTATAAATGACAGGTTCCTCAACGAAAGAAGTTTGTTAGTTTATTGCCATCACATATAGTATGAATTTTTCGAAGTGCATTCTTTATCATTGAGTATAAAAATTTATACATTTTAATGTTTTGTTGGCATTCTAGCCCAATATTATGCTAAACTTTATGGTTTTGAAGACGTTTCTTCACGAGCACACAAAATATGTTTGAAAGGTACGTGCGAAAATTTCCGAAATACAGACAAGTTATACACCCAAAATTTAAAAATGAAGCAGAATGCAGAATATTGTATTAAACTACACTATCTCAGAATCATAACAACCATGAAGGGTAAATTTTGATTTTCCTCAAAGTTATTATCTTGGGTTTCTGGGAATATTTTGGCAAATCAGGTGTTCGTATTTGTTTAGTTAGAGGTTATATTCATTTAAAATATGGTCACGAATAAACAGGCGAGGAAACAAAGTATAACTGGGGAAACTGAAACGTTTAATGGGGGCGAACTTGTGCCCAAAAATAAAAAGGAAACAAACGATAACAGCAGAGCGTCGCGGGCGTCGAAGTCGGCGTAACAGCAGAGTCGAACGCTGGGGCGAAACTGACTATGGCTCGCTACTCGAAGCCCTTTATGTACACGAGTGAGCTTCTGGAATAGTCGGCGTAGAATGTTCGACGCGCAGAACATTCCGACCTCGAACAAACTGGATTTCAGGTTTGCAGTAGCAATTCCAGTTATATTTCTTCTTCCATAACCCAGACAGCGAAACGTTATCTCGGGTTCTGGGGAAGGGTTAGACGATAATAATATGTTCATCTGGGCGTAAGGCTCACCTTCATGCACTGCATCATTAGTGTGGTTGTGTAGCATTCGCGGTTTCAAAAAGAATGATCTTTAAAGCCTAAAATAAACAACCTGTGTGTACAATATTGGTGTACCAAATTTTATACTGTTGTAATTTAGGATGCGAGGTAACTGTTCTTATAACCGATAGTATCTAGGCAATAGAGCATCAGAAGAGAAGTGGATATAAATCTACACGTAGGGATTGATATGCTTAAAATGCATTGACCGACAATCCATCACTATATATGCAATCAAGTATCCATTACTGCACACATTTATTCCTTAGACAGACCCGCGAGACCCATTTATGCTTGAATGCAGCTATTATATCCCAAACCAACAAAAACATATGAAATATAGAAATACCTGTGCTTACTTGTTCAAAAACTGCTTATAAGTTCCAAATTATTCCTTTGATCGCATTATTACCCTGAGATAATTAATGAAGAATTAGGAAGGTATCACAATGTTGCAACCGAAAGTCACTCTTATTTCTTTTTTTTCTGTTTGTGGTTATTATGTTTTACACGCACACACACACTGCTTTGGCGGTAATTTGCACACGGTGTGAAATATAAAGGTGAATTCGCCACGTAGGGCCGAATAACTGAACTGTAAGCGCCTGTTGCAATTTCTGGACGTGAAAGCCTAACGCTGGCTTTTGTTTGGAGTTTTTGTTCTACAAATTCAGGGCACAACCGATCAACCAGAAATGACGCCTAGTTCTGGCATTTGATTGAGAGCTGAGGTATTCCAAGTGACAACCGAACAAGCACAACAGCGTAGCTCCGCTGAGGTACTTGTTTTGGAACTTCAGTGATAAAAAAAAAAATTCAAGGACGCCTAAGCACTTTTTATGAGTTGTGAATGCGAAAGCATTAATGTCCGATTAAACGCCGACTGGAGCGGTCGCAGCGCCGGCAGGGAGTGCGGCAGTGCGCCGCGCAGAAAGCCCTGGCTCGCTGGTGACTGCTACGCCGCTGGGTGATGCAGTGACGGGAATGCGAAGCTTGGCGCAGCGCCGAGCTCCTGCGATGAGATCACGCTCCCCCACTGCGCAGGCGCGGCCCCCGCCGCCTCCATGGCTTCCGTGACGAAGCATCTGCATTGCTGCGCTTTTGGCCAATGGGATTTCTTGTGCGGTTTTGCTCAGCCAATGGAAATTTAGCTGCCGCTTTCTCAGCAAATGGAAATTTAGCAGCCGTTTTTCGCTGCCACAAACGGAATTTAGGTGTCGGTTTTCGTGGTCACAGACAACTCCGGCGTTGCTCACTGGGACCGTTAATGCTTTCGAATGAATATTCATAATCTGGTAAAAAATATTAGGTGGGGTTCTTCATCGGCTTCTTTGGAATTTGAGGGCTTTAAGGTTCCGGACAAACAACACACTTGGGCTAAACAAGTGTGCAACTTGGGTTCGAAACATACGTACAGACCGCACATTCTGGTTTGACGGCGCAGGTGTTTTCCAGAACTAATCTGTTCTGCAGCGTCCCCGTGTAATAAACCAACCTACCAACTCCATGGGTGTTAATTGCTGTTTTTGCAATCTAAATTTCCGCCTACACTGATGGCAGCATAGAACGAGAAATTCACAGGCGCGTTAATACAAAAACAACTATACGGCTCCCTGTGGTTCTGTAAGAACAACTTTGATTCTTGTAAACTTTTGCGAAATAAGTTTAAAAATACGAAGTTCTTTTTTTTATAAAACATGAAAAAGCCATATGGTGGCTGATTCCGTATTTACGCACCTGTGAAAACCTTGTTCCCCACAGTCATCCACGTAGGTAGAAGGCATTTAAAAAGTATTATTCTACCAATAACTGCATATCAAATTAAAATCTGTGAACGCGGAGTTCACTCGTTTTATTTTATATGCGGTGATTGGTTAAGTAATATTTCTTAGATGCTTCCTTCCTTCCAGTGAAAATATTTACGAAGTACAAGAGGGCAAAATTTTGAATTTATTTTACACCTAGTTGTCAACGTGAATGATTAAATTATGTCTTTTTTTTTTGTCGCCACCTGCGGATGGTTGCTTACCGCTTTTTATGTACTCACTATGAAGATCATTGTATACAACGTATTTGTTTATGTTGCATATAATTTAAAGAACAAAATAGATTATTTGTGCTTCGATAGAGTCGTTCATCTAAACGTGCTTATCTCGTAAACTCGTAAATATGTCAGAGTAGTGCATGACATGACAGGGTTTGGTAGACGCAGAGTTCAGTTAGTTTTACGTACTTATTTCTTAGAATTTATAAAAAATATAAAGTAAAATAAACAATTGATTCGCTACCTTGAATTTCTTTTGGCAATGGCATTGATGTGACTTTCGCTTTGTTCTTCCGAGCAAGGTAAATACGCATATGTATCTTAGATGAAATGTACTCGCAGGGTGTTAAAATAAGACGGGTAACTCGTGCATATAATGTGTTTGTTTTATTTTATATTTTGCACAATATAGGATAAACCCGGTGTCCAAGATGGTCCAACGTTTCTTCGAGCTGCAGGACTCGTATCACGCTTAGAAGATCTGGGTGAGATTGAAGTGTTTATTATTGCCAAAGAGGCCATACGCAATCTGCGGAACAAATACTAAACAAGAGAAACATCAATCCCAACGAGAGTTGTCTTGACCAAATGGCATGCCTTCAGAAATCGGAGAAATGTCGTCTAATTTAATAATAAAATGGTGTCTGGGCGTATCAAAAGCTATGCGCCACATAAAGCATAATACAGTATTTTACTAATTACCAAAATGTAGTTTGGAGCTTCGTTCGAAGGAATAAATGACATTTTATTGTGTTTATAGTATAATCACACTTTCGGCATCATTAATATTAGCGTCCAAATTAGAAACTCGATAATCTTTTTTTAATATAATTTTTGCATATGACGAAAAACGTTTTCGTTTAAAAAGCAGGGTATCAAGAGGTCAAGCAATTCTTCTCGTACCCTTTAATCCTCCAGTCTCTAAATGCACTAACCTCTCTACTCCGTCTTCATCATTCGTTCCCTCTTTCCATTTCTTGATGTTCCACATCATACATGCAGTTGCTATTTTTGGGTACTTTTCAGCTTCCAAGATAAGTCATAAGTAAGTTTGACAGTTAGAATTCATCACTATTTCTGCACGAGATATACCTTAGTTCGCGGAAATGCGAAAACAACAAATTATTTGCATTTTACTATAATTGCGATGTATATTATACAGTTTACTCGTTGAAACTTCAGCAGTTTTCATGTCAGGCGTGGCCACGTTTCGGTCCCAATAATTTCATCGGGTTGAACCAGAAAGATGAGTGTTTACATTATGCCATGATGTTTCATGATGCGTTCTTGAGAGCCAAGAACAAGGACCACTGATTCACTTCCGTGATTATAAACATACGTTAAGTCGTTGACGTATAGCTTATTGTATCTAATTTTGTGACGGGTATTGCGTGATTTGAATTGAGAAGGGAATTCCCAGTTTCTTTTTGGCAAGGCGCACTTTACTCGAAAAATCTTCAGAGACTTGAACTTTGGGTGCCGTCATTCTCGTGAGTTTAAAAGCACTGTCAAGAACCTCATCTTTGAAATTTGATGATGATTTGACGATTTACTCCAATTCCTTTCCGGCCAAGGTAGTGAGCTCTTATAGCTGTTTTTAAATTGATCGCGATGTTATCCCTTACGAAACGAGTAAAAATTTGCTCTGTAAGAGCCCAGGTTTCATTTCCTGTTCCCGGGATGCCTTTAAATACTAGGTTATTTCTTCTCATTCCGTCTTCCATGTCATTCATACTGCCCACAGTTCAACGACGTGCTCACGTAGGAATAAAGTTTCATGCTGAACGTTTGATAGGACGAGTCGTTCTAAAAAGCTTGAAGAATAGACATGCCTCAATTTGTTGCACTTCGAGGGCACGACCGATAATAATGCTAATAAATATAAATGAATGGGATCCTAGGATCAAGTGTGAATTTTACCAAAGAGCCAATTGGGAGAGACCAAAAAAAAACGGAACCAGCCAAAGGAATACCTTCTGAAAAACCAACGGGGGACAGCCCATTAGAGCTCGACCCCCAGTCCGACCCCGCTACTGGGTCATGAGAGTGGATCACAGTGGGCTTGGCGGGCTCGCAGGGCAAACATGCGCCAAGCGTTCGCGCCTCAGCGATTACTTTTATATCTCTCGGCTCCTCCGATTAATTTCAATTTGCGTGGAAGAGGTTAGCAGCAAAAACACGACAGTTGCTACTGTGAACACTTTCAGAGGTCATGATAAACGTAAAGTAAATTAATTTAAAAAAAAAAACTTATTTTAGCGAAGGACAACTCTCGTTTGGCCCTTTGTAGAAAAAATAAACGATCCAATCTGTGCCCGATAAATCACACTATCGATTCCCACTCCAGAGTGCACAAAATTGAAAGCATACAAATCTCGTGGGATTCGCAGCAAAAAATGTATATGAGTGTACGTAGTACCCGAAAAACTTTGGGACTACCTGCAGTGCACGAAATGGTTGTTTACGAGGCGAGTAGACGGCTGCGAATCCAGAAGTTTTTTGTGGCAGCGCTCTCCGGTTTTCTTCAGTCCGTCACGTTTTTCCCTTGGAGTGATGATCTCGGGGGAGTGGTGATCTTGGTCGCGACGATAGCGGTGATTCCTTGGTTCTGGTGCATCGATGACGACGACAAAGGGGCGGTGGGCGCGTGTTGGGCTCAGTGGGATATGCAGCAGCTTTTCCAGGGGGAGGGACGGCAAAGCACAATATTGTTTTTTACGAGACGAGTACACGGCTGCGGATCGCCTTTCTTTTGTTTTTGACTGCATTACCTTGAAAAACAACTGGAAGGGCAAAATTCATAAACCTTCTTCAAGGAATACTTTAAGTATAATTTCTTTGATGTATTTCCCAACCCTGCCGTGTGAATGATATCTGCACCAAACAAACCGCTTAATAATATTCTTTATACTGCTGTGAACTTAGGTACTTTTAAATTTTCATGTATAACGTTTTATCCCTACCAGCCCACATGTTAATTGATCAACTCATAAAGTGATTACATTTTACCGCAGGGATTCAACTCGTGCTATTGGTTACGCGACCTTTGATTTCAAATTGAAGCAGACAACCCAGACTACTTTCCCGGTGCTCCTGTGCATATATAAAGAAACACGCATGCATTTTGTTTCTTCGCCGTAGAATAACAGAAATCATATTTGTTACTTTAGACGCGGCTAATAGCAGGTAATTTTGTTAGAGTAGTAGTAGGGCACCATTTAGTCTGAATAATATATTTTGTTTAGTGAGCGATGGGTAAACTTGCAATGCTTTAGGCCCAAACATAAGTTCTAGAGCAGGCCTAAGGTCGAGCAAAAAATCCAAGCAAGAATAACAACTGGAGGAACCGTGTGGCTTGCTCGAGATGCACCAACATTCCAATCACTCTGCTATTGATAATATGCAAGGCTGATATGTCTCAATATATTAATGGTTCCTGCCGAAATTTTGCGAGCGCTATATTACGGAGCTCAAAAGAGTAAAAGTACCAAAAATTATAAAAAAACTATAAAAGGTGTCGTTCAATTTATGCTTTTATATACCGACAGACGTCTGTTGCGCGCCGGGAATAAGCTGTGTTTTTAATATTTCTTTAAAAGTTTATGAGCATACGAATATGAGCAAAGAGAAGAAACAGATATTTTTTATTGCAAAAACTCACTAGTTTTTGCTATAAATAATAGTAACTAGTGAGTTTTTGCAAAACTCACTAGTTACGTGCAAATATAGTTACATATGGAGCGGTATTGCATAGAAATGGCTAAGACGATTGTTTCCTTCAATTTTAAGGTGCGCTTTGTTGATTTTGCACGTAACGCCCTACACCTTTTCCGCAGACAAACTCGATGCCCTGTGCGCCTTATTGTATTCAACAACATTGCATATTTATTAGGTATTTGAGATGGAACAGCCCGTCAGGCTAATTGACTTGACACTCATTACGGACGTGTTGGTTTAAACTGAGGTTGAGAATCTAAGTTTAGGGTATGGTCTCTCAGTTCCTTGGACAGTCGATAAATAGTACGAAATATGGACATATCATTAATTAAAAAAAGTGGATGGAGTTTTGTCATTATAATATTCACGACTAGCAGGCAGGTACGAAGCTATTTTAGCACTGTGTTTAATGCCACAACTTTAAAAAAAGACGAAATTGCCAAAAAGTCTGACTGAATCACAGGTAAAAGTTGCAAGTTATTTATTACTAAATAGGTATACGTAATACTTCTTTATAATCCACCTCATAAGAAAAATTCACCCACTTTTTTATCGAATAGTTTTTACATGAAGCCACTTTTCGAATGAGTGCTGCCTGTTTTTGTTTTGAGACTGCGCACTAGCAATTAAGTTATGACAATTAAGTAACGAATAAACTCGAGACTGAGTCTTACGTCGCTTTTTTTTTTTTCGTATACCTCAGTCTCGAGGTGTTTTAAAGAAGATTGACATCTTTAGTGCACCTATGTTTGTCATTGAAAATGTTTTTGGCTAAACTATCTCACACCAGAAAGTGAATTGATATGCATGTTCTTGTTTCCGCTCGACTTTCCCCTCCAAAAAGAATATAAAGCAATATGCTTTCCTAAATATTGTAACGAATGAAAAGTTAATGAAACAAAGAATAAGTGAGAAAAGTCAAATTTTAATGGGGCAAACTTGCGCCCAAAACAAAAAGGAAAAAGATAACGACAGAGCGCCGCGGGCGTTGAAGACGGCGAGACAGTAGAATCGAACGCTGAGGCGAGACTGGCTCCGGCTTGCCACGCGGATCCCCTTCTACACGCGTGGGCTTCTCAAACAATCGGTGTAGAAGGTTCGCCGTGTAGAACATTCTAACCGTGAGTCAGCAACACGGTTCTCGAATTTACTAGAACATTACGTTAGAGCCAAAAAAAATGCGTCCCCGCGGCCAGGAATCAAACCCCAGCTTTCAGCCTGGAAGGCACGCGCGATAACAGTTAGGCCACAACCACGCTGCCTGCTTGCTCAGCTGCGCTGGCGGCATTAGTCCCCCCTTTGAAAAAAGTCCATCGTCCCGATGCAGCGCAAAACGAGAACACAGATCCACAGCAGAATGATAGCAGAGTCCTGAGCCACAGTTCATAGTTACTCCTTGACGAGAGTCCAAAGTTCTATCGTTCGTAATACGGCTAAAGCCGGACGACGTGCACCACCTCGGGCCATGACTGGCGTCTTTTAGAGGGGCGCGTTTCGTCTGGTAGAACTTCATAATTCACATGGCCGAGGCGTCGGATGATTTTTTAGGTTTCGAAATTGCGTTTGAGAAGATTCTCTGAGACCGTGGCGGCGTATTGGTGTCCACACCCATACCCGGTTTCCGGGTTGAAAGTGGACGTCCCGGCGAAGAAGGTTATGCCGGCGTGCGTCGACTCGCCGTTGGTCATGAAGCTCGATTCTTGAGAGCTGGCGAGCTTCTTTCGCGCGTTGCGAGATCAGTCGAGCTCCATCGTTCCCATTGTCAGCC